CGAGCCACGCCGGGCTCCCCAAAAATGTTAAGCGGAAGGGTCTCGGGGCGGGAGAGATTGAGGGGCAGAGGGGCGAAGGGACGGAGGAGAAGCTCACCTGGGTGTGGATGATCTTGTGCCGGCAGAGCGTGCTTGCTTGTCTAAAGCCCTTCCCGCAAACTTTGCAAACAAAGGGTCTGGCTCCCGTGTGCACCGGCATATGGCGAGTCAAATTATAATTGGCGAGTTAAGTTATAATGTGCATTAAATACCTTGAGAGTGAAATCAGACACACACACACACACATAAAAATAACAATTGCGATTAGAAGGCGAGAGCGCAGAAGGGGAAGCCGTCGTTTAAAAACCAAGCAAGCGAGGGACTGCGGACCTGGCGGCCAGATGGCCGGGGCAGGAGGCTGGGGAGAGGGGAAGGAAGGGAGGCGGGCTGCCGCTCTACTTGCCTTTCCACAAACTTCACACGTGAAAACTTTGGGCTTGCTGCTCGGGGAGCCGCGGCTGAACTCCGACGTCTTGTAGGAGATTTTTTCCGAGAGGATCTGGGCGCTCTCTTTCATGTAGTGCTGCAGCTGGGTCTGCGACAAGTCCTTGAAGGCCACCCCCGCCGGGTACTTGTCCACGGCCGGCAGCACCAACTTGTTCCGCTCCGCGAGGTAAGCCTTGGGCTGCGGGTGCAAGGGGGAGCTGAGGAAATAAGAAGCCACCGGGTGGATGTTGACACTGGAGGACGGGTGACAAGGGCTGTCGCCTCGGTTGAAATAGCACAGGGCTCCCATGGCGTGGAAGGAGGAGTGATTGACCACTCGGGGTCTTACCAGTTTGTACTGCTGCAAGGGCAGGGCATCGCGGGGGAAATCTCCTTTCAAGCTCAGGGCACAGTTCAAGAGATCGCCGCAGCTAAACGAGGGCGAGGAAGAGGAGTCTAAATGAGCCTTCCTGGGTTCCGCTCCGGCCACCCCCGCTTTGGGCAGAGGGTCGTACGCCACCGGGACAAAGGGGATCATGCAGGGGATGGAGGAGTTGAGATGCAGCGGGTGTTTGGCCACGGAGCCGTGGAAGAGCTGCGGGACGGGGATGGAGCGGGGCTCTGGCGTCCGCGCCATGATGCGCTCAATGGAGAAGGCGAGGGGCTTGGGCGTGCTGATCATGTTGCTCCTGGCAGACAGGCTTTCTCTGGCCGGAGGAGTCGCTAAGATTTTGGTCGCGGTGTGGTGGCCACTATTGTCCATGGCTGGATTGCATTTGTTCGCCCGGTTTGAGCCGCTTTGGTAGACGCCTCTTATTTTTTTTTTTTTTCTATCCTCCTCTCCCCTTTCTCGCTCTGTTTCACTCTCTGCCCCTTCTCTTGTCACTGATCTCCAAGGAGGGAGAGCAGCATCTCCGCTGCCACCATCACCATCACCTCCTCCGCCGGCGGAACCAGCCCTCTGAGCCCGGCGGCCTCACGCCAGCCCATCGCCGGTTACTTTGGCGCGCCAGTGACTCGGGACAATCGCTACTTATTTCTATCAATAGAAAGTGTTGTGTCAATAACGCAGCCAAGATCTCGCCAATCGTTAACTTCCAAGAGGAGAAGGTAAACTAGATAATTGCTCAATTCGCTTCCAACAGTCAACAGGAAAAGTTTTCCCCCCCCCTCCCAGAAAGAGGCTACTTTTCATTGGCGCCCGCGCCTCCCCCGCCCAGGGAAGGAGGTGTCTCTCCCTCCTTCTCGCCTCTCTACCCTCGGCCTCCCTCCCCTTCTTTTTTATTATTATTATTTGCAATCTGCTTAACCAGGCTTTAGAGGCCAAGCAAATCCGAGATCAATTTTCTTGTTTGGCTTTAAGTGACATCATCTAAAATCATTGTCCAAGTGCTAAATAGGGATGTGAAACCCAATTCAAGGGCAAGCGCCAGGGTATTTGTCAAACGAGGTGCTGCAGAAGAAGCTGCTGGAGGGGAAGCTGTTTGTTTCCTCGCCACTTCCCAGCCCGAGCTCTCTTTGTGCGTGGGTCTGTGTGTGTGTGTGTCTGAGGGACGGAGGGAGGGCCATGGCTGCTCTGCTCCTGGGGCTGCTGCTGGTCTGCTCACCGCTTTACAGAACAAGGTCAGGCGGCGGTGAGCTTTTGGAAAACAGTAAACAAATGAGCGAGGAACTTGCGACAAGCGCACGGCGGGAGCAGCGCATGGGGATGCAGGAACCAGCCGGGCCAAGTCCAACGAGTGCTTGTGAGCAAAAGGATGAATCAAAACCTGGGGCTGGGGAAGAGACGGAAAAGGAGGTAGGAAGAGGGAGTGCCTTTTAAATCTGAAGCACTACTTATGTGTGTGTATATACATACATATACACACATACATATATGTATCACCTGCATCTACACTAAAGCTTCTCTAACCTTAAATAATACGTGCAGAACACAAACCCGACAGCTCAGGGCCGGTATTTGTGGTACCGTGTGACTCACTGCTGATAGGTATATGTACACCTGAACAGATGTGCTCCCGATGTATTTCAGCGAAGCTGGGCGACCCTCTTCGGGTAGCTCCAGAGCCCAGGTTGTTGGGACTTTCAGCGAAACAGGGTAGGAGGGGGGGAGCGGAGGGGGAGCGGGGGTAGGAAAGGGACAGAGGTGGGTGAGAGGTTTTCTGTGTCCTCCCCTGTCCCACCACCCGACAGCTGGGTTCACAACAAGCTCCTGTTCCTCCCTCCGGCCTGGGGTTTGTTTAGCTGGTAACTGAGAGGCCTCTATCGAACGCCCCGGGAGCAGCCTACGGTCCCTGTGTGTGTCCTGGGAGCGTGT